CTGCTGAGGAGAGACGCCCGGACGGCAGCCGAACGCAGCCGCCGAGGGACCGCGGTGTCGAGGAGCTCGCCCGCCGCCGCTCCGTTACCGCCGCTATTATTATTCATTATTATTATTATTTATTTGCGCCCGGAGAAGACGGTCGCAGGAGCCGGGTGTTGCTAGGCGTTTCCAGAGGTCTGTCCGTGTTGCACTCAGCAGCGAGGGTCTCCGTGGGTGGTTTTTGGGGCAGGTGGCTGGTTTTTATTATTTTTTAATTATTTTTTTTTTCAGTGAAGTACTTGAGGTCTGTAGAGATTTCGGAAATTAAGGAAATTCCTGTTTACAGAAAGATTCAACTTTATTTTCATGGGGGATATAAAAAGTGTGTTTCCTAATACACCTTACTGAACTGTCTAGCAATGGATAAGCTTTTCAAACTTAAAAAAAAAAAAAAAGCCAAAATCATACCCTTTTGAAAAGATGGGCGTGTATATATATATATTTAAAACATAATATGGCTATGTATATTTTCTTGGTATTGATAAAGAACTTTTTTTAAAAATACTGTCTTTACCTAGAGCTTTAATTTGCCATTGAGAGTTTAAGACAACTGTGTGGGTGCTCCTGCACGTACACGGCTTCAGTTTTAAAATCGAACCCTGGAGGGAAGTGATTTTTTTTTGTTGTAACTCTTAAGCAGAATGAAATGCATTGCTGACTCGGTCATATGAAAATACTTTTCTAAACTGTACGCTCCATATTTCTTGTGCCAGTGCAAAGTTGGGGCATTGATAGTTATTTATTGAAACTTGAACACTTTTGGACGATGCCTAGACATTATTTTTCTAGATAACATGTTAGTAGTGAAAACAGTTACTTTGGCAAGAAGAGCTTTACCTTTCTTCCGTCACTGTGTACATTCCAGTAGTGTTTGCTCTTTACACAGTATAGTAACAATTCAGTGCTATACAGAAAAGGGCTCAGTTTTGGGGTGGGTTAGCTATAAAGGGGGTAATTCCATTGTATTCTGTTTGAATAAATCACAGAAATATTATGGAGAAGTAGATTTATTTTTCAGTAGAAATCTGTGTATCTTGCTTCTTGGTCTACTTTGTTCTAAAGAAACTTTCTGCAATACTTTGTAGACAGGAAAAGTTGGTGCTAGAGCATGAAATGTTCTTTCTGGTTGGGAAGAGCTGGTGTGGTTTATTTCTTGGTCAAGATTTTACTAGTAGGAGAGAATAGCCAAGTTTCCTCTGATAGGACATAATCCTCAACAAGTTTTTGAAAGCTTTAGATCCCTTGCTCGGCACGCCTGCCTGCCTTGCTTCTGCTGCACCTGTGTGTGTTTTCAGCGTAGCCGCTATCGCAGCGCAGCCGAGCCCTGCGGCGTGGGAAGGGTCTGTCGGAGTGTGAAGGTCATCCCACCTGATGCGTCCCCAGTGTGGGGGGGCTGTGGGCCAGGCCTGCCACCGTGGGAGGGCAGAGCTTCTTCTGAGCAGATCCAGCTGCGGAGCGGGGCCCGCCCCCTGCTTTGAGACTGTTGCTGACAACTCTACTTGAACTCAGAGGCCAAACGTACACGGGGATATTTGTCTGTGCCAGCTGGTGAAAATGGGGGATTGCATGAGGAGCCGAGGGGGCATAGACATCTTTATGTGCATAAACCATTGCTCAGATCTGTTAAACCCACTCAGGAGCTGTTCAACATCCCTTCTTCTGAAGGCTACACTTGACGCTTTAAAATTGAAGAATGGGATAGACTCATGTTTTTTCTTGCTTTCACTGGGGATACGTGAGTGCTATCTGCTTAGAAAGTTGAGCTGCAGCAGGGAAGTGCGTGAGCTTTTTCTTCTGCTGCGTAGTCATTCCTGGCACATGTGTCAAATGACATGACAATGCATAGTAATGGTGTTACTGTAGCTGAGATGCTCTGAGGATATTACTTTTCTTAATGCATATGCAAATTAAGTAGAAGCCATATTAATCATTGTATAACTGTTTAATTGTGTCACCAGAGCCTTTTTCAGTGGTTGGAATGCTTGCCTTCTGCTGTTAGAAATACTGATGAACAGATAAACTATTTTGATCTTAACACAATTTTGAAGACTTCTTTAAGGCACTCTAGACCAGACAGCATACAATCTGTAGCACTGCCTGTTATAGAATAAATGGTTGAAAAATAACTGGGGCTTAGCGTGTGGTGGGTATCACATATCTGCAAAGATGCTGCAAGACTGGAGGAACTGATAAAGACTCTTTTTTTTTCACTTCACACTTACCATGCTTTCCCTAGTGAGAGAGATAATGCTGCCTGGTAGATAAGTTGGCATGCGATGCTTAGCTTTACTGTATATGTAGTGAGGTTGGGATTTTTAAGTATGCATAAAAAAGATGTAAAAATTACATGGGTGGACACTGCTATTTCAGTTCTTGTATTTGCAAATGAGTGTAGGACCAGGTAAAGATCTTGCAGTAGGATGCAGGGCAGTCATAAGCGTAGCTGTGCCATACTTGTTCTTTGCTCATTCTACTGTTTCTGGTCAAAATAAAGAGCAATATCCAAGGAGAAGTGAGGGATCCATAAGACACAGGAAACCACTGCAATTCACCTTCCCAGCTAAGGGCGGGGTTATAATGAGCTCATGCTTTTCAGCATGGTAGTGTTCAAGCTGAAAACCAGCTCACGTTGCCTCTTTCCCGTCTGAACTTTCAGCAAACAGCAGTTCTGCATCCAGCTTCCCAAAGATCTCATGGAATTACTTCTTTGATAGCCTGCTTTATGTTCTGACACCTGTTAGGTGGTAGAAGTGCTGACAGGCCAGCTCTGTTGCCCTGTTGACTGCTGAAAGGTTACTAGTGAGGCTGGCAGTGCCAGCTCTTTGTCATAGGCTACTAAGTTACCTTCAAAAATACCTTCTTTTATCTGGTATTTAGGGTGAGATGCAGGATCTAACACTGACGTGACCAAACCTGAGAACAGTGTGGGATGGCTGAGTTTTTCCCTATTGATTCTGCTAGAAGTTGCTGCCCCTATCACAGATGAGAGTGGGCAGCCTGAAAGCCTAAGGTTTTAAACCAATCTAACAAGACTCAGGAGTACTTGCCTTCTGCAGCTGTCAGGCTTGATTGTAACTGTCATCTGAAATGTATTCCTGCTTTAACTTTTGTCCCTGTAATATTCCTAAATACTTAAATATGGCTTCCTTATTTTGTCCTGCCTTTTTTCTTCTGTTTGTTGCAGCTTTTTTTCCTGGCTATTTCTTTTAGGTTTTTATTTTCTGCCTAAAACATTGGTCCCTATGAGATGCTAAAAGGTAAATAGTGGTTAAAAATGTTCCAGGCTGTTTATG